AGCCATTGAGTTGTTAAGATCAATAAGAAAGGAATTTATTGTAGGTGGAACATGTATACATGAATGGACAACTTCGAGATCACCACAAGTAAAGAAAGAATCCAATTAATTTATTGTAAGTAGACTATGTATATAATGACAACTTGGTGACCACCATAAGTTGGAATTTTCTCCAGATTCCTTGTTTCTCCTGTAGGTATGTATATTTTCATAAAGATATTGGATTGTAGGACTTAATAATGTGCACTAAATTCTTCTAAAGGAAAATAAAGCAAAAACAGTGGAACAGTCCAACGAACATCCCATAAAATCATTACTACCAAAGGTCATAAAACTTAAAGCTTTCATAACACTCTCTCAATGTGATAGGAAGGGAATCTAACCAAGAAAAGAAAGAGAAACACCCAATTATAGCATTTAGTGGCTAAGCCGGTAAGGTCAAACTGCTGAAGGCTGTCAAAAAATTATTAGGGACCAATGGGACCTGTTCAGATTAAATAAACACTTCATTGTAAGGTTTGTAGATGTTGCAATACCGAGGTTAGGAAGAGAAGGCTATTTTGCTATTGATCTGCTGAATTAGCCGCTCTCTCTAAGACAAGTTAGGAAAAGAATTCATTATAACTTTCTTATGTGAAAGCGGTCAGAAGCATTATAATTGCCCCTTTCGTGATACCATGACTCCAGTCCCCTAGGGCAGAACCTTGTGGTTAAGAGCTTGGGTCTCCAAGTTGGAGGTCACAAGTATGAATCTTAGAAGGGGTGGAGAAGGATTTGGAAAGAGTAACAAACAAAAACATACAGAGATTGCTTGCATTGTTGTTTCCATTGAAATATTGAACTTGCACATAACATACCCACTTCACAGAGAAAGCAAGAACTAACCTTTGATGCGAACCAGCAGCACTTTAAACACAAAAACCTGAAAGAAAAAAGTTGAAACCGCATGAGTTTATAGAATATTTATTGAATTATTCACAGAAAACATAAGTGATTATCTAGTTTTGTGATTTCTGGGGATGAAAGAAACAGAGGAAGAGAGAAAAGAAATTACCCGTTTGATTGACGACTTGAATCTCGGGCCCTCCACTTCCGTCACTTTTGAGAGGAAACAAGGGCTGCTGAGACTGAGAGGAACATGGGAATGGCTTCGACGTTTTTAATCAACCATGTCAGGTTCTCCACCTAATGCCCAACACCCACTCCATTTTTAACCCTTATTTATTTTTACGGTGTACCTCACAATCACATTCCATGTTAAAACCAAAAAAAAAAAACCGTACATGAACATCTCCTGACCATTTGATTATTTAAAGACAATATCTTTATATTAACGTAATACTCATCACATTAACAAGATGAATGAAACCTCGGAGTACAAGTCGCCAAGAGATTCGGACGGACACGGGACCCATACGGCGTCCATAGCCGCCGGGAGGTATGTCTTTCCTGCTTCCACATTGGGATATGCACAAGGGGTGGCCGCGGGTATGGCGCCCAAGGCGACACTCGCCGCTTATAAGGTCTGCTGGAATTCGGGATGCTACGACTCTGATATTCTGGCTGCGTTTGACGCCGCCGTTGCTGATGGCGTTGACATTATTTCGCTCAGCGTGGGTGGTGTTGTTGTGCCATATCATCTCGATTCCATTGCGATTGGAGCTTTCGGTGCTACTGATCGATCGAGGGATTTTTGTGTCTGCTTCCGCAGGAAACGGTGGTCCCGGTGGGCTTACGGTGACCAATGTTGCTCCATGGGTCACCAACGTTGATGCTGGGACCATCGATAGAGATTTCCCTGCTGATGTTAAACTTGGTAATGGGAAGACGTTGCCCGGAGTTAGTATATACAATGGACCTGGTTTGACTCCCGGTCGGATGTACCCGTTGGTGTATGCCGGAAGTCAAGGCGGTGATGAGTATTCGGCTTCTCTGTGTTTGGATGGTTCTTTGGATCCCAATTTCGTAAAAGGAAAAATCGTTGTGTGTGATAGACCCATTTGTTGTGATCTTTATATTATGTGTCTCTAACGTAAATGTGAAAATTTTTTATAAAGGAATTGAGAATTCAATTAAAATAGAAAACGAACAATGTAAAAGAAATTTTTATTAATTGCATCAACATTTGTTGAATTAAAGCATGCATAATTCATTACCAAAATAAAAAGAGAATTCATTAGCAAGTAAAAAAATAAAAAAAAGCCTACAGAATTCAGATTGCATCTCAGTTTCAAGCGAGTCATTACAAACTTGTAGATGATATAAAACAAAAGTTACAAGCCATCTAAACACAACTTTGACTAAATACACAGAAAGAGAAAGGGCACATTGGAAATTGTTGCTGGGGTAGCTGAGAAGACCTACTAGATTTTCCCTTTGCAGGATGAGCGCTTGAAGGTGATGAGACATCTTCAACCTGAAAACCAATAATTAATAACAGGTGATTTGCTCGTTATTCTTTTAAATCAAGCAATGAAGTTGTTAATACAGGATTAGTATAAATGTGTACCTACTTCTCCACTCCAGGCTGTAGACGTAGAGGGAGACTGATGGCTCCTAAGACTTAAAAACTTTTCTTCGCAATCTGGAGATATGCTGTGTCACTAGTAACCCATTTGTTGCTAAAATTAAATAAAGGCAGCCCTTCAAGTTGCTGAGAAAGATCCTCACGTTGTTGAGAAACAAGAAACAGAGATGATTCCATGGATGATCTAACTTCAAAGCCAAAACTCCAACAAAACCAATGGCCGCTCCTAGTTTTTTTGAATAGCAACAACTTCATTAAATGAGTACAATGGTTACTCAAACTCATATATAATATTAAGAAATTATCAATCATTCAAGTTAATCGCTGGCTTTTAACCAGGTTCCAACTATCCATTGTAAAGTAATTCATTTACTAACACATGCCCTTGGAGTAATGATCCAGTCTAACATAAGAAA